TGACATCTTTAGACAAGTTACTGTTATCATTTGCATTTGTGTTAACTTCTGCGTTGATATCTTTAGACGAGTTATTACTGTCATTCGCATTGCTGTTAGCTTCTTTGTTATCATTTGTATTGGTGTTAACTTCTGCGTTATTGTCTTTAGACGAGTTACTACTGTCATTTGCATTGGTGTTAACTTCTGCATTGCTATCTTTAGACGAGTTACTGCTATCATTTGCATTGGTGTTTACTTCTGCGTTGACATCTTTAGACAAGTTACTGTTATCATTTGCATTTGTGTTAACTTCTGCGTTGATATCTTTAGACGAGTTATTATCGTCATTCGCATTGCTGTTAGCTTCTTTAGACGAGTTACTGCTATCATTTGCATTGGTGTTAACTTCTGCGTTAACATCTTTAGACGAGTTACTGTTATCATTTGCATTGGTGTTAACTTCTGCATTGATATCTTTAGACGAGTTATTGTTATCATTTGCATTGGTGTTAACTTCTGCGTTAATATCTTTAGACGAGTTACTTTTGTCATTTGCATTGGTGTTAGCTTCTGCATTGTTATCTTTAGACGAGTTACTATTGTCATTCGCATTACTATTAGCTTCTTTGGGCGAGTCTTTAGACGAGTTACTGCTATCATTTGCATTGGTGTTAACTTCTGCGTTGTTGTCTTTAAACGAGTTACTACTGTCATTCGCATTGGTGTTAGCTTCTTTAGACGAGTTACTGCTATCATTTGCATTGTTGTTAACTTCTGCGTTGATATCTTTAGACGAGTTATTGTTATCATTTGCATTTGTGTTGACTTCTGCGTTGATATCTTTAGACGAGTTACTATTGTCATTCGCATTGCTGTTAGCTTCTTTAGACGAGATACTGTTGTCATTTGTATTAGTGTTAGCTTCTGCATTGTTATCTTTAGACGAGTTACTGCTATCCTTTGCATTGGTGTTAACTTCTGCATTGATATCTTTAGACGTGTTACTGCTATCATTCGCATTGCTGTTAACTTCTTTAGACGAGTTACTGTTGTCCTTTGTATTAGTGTTAACTTCTGCATTGATATCCTTAGACGAGTTATTACCACTGCCATATCCATTGCCGTTAACCTTAACATTTGAGTCTTTGTTTCTAGCGACTGGAGCATTTTCATGAAAAGCGGATTTGTTTGATTCAGCATTTGTAGTTGATGTTTTGGCTTTCGAAGTTTTTTTACCTTTCTTGCTTTTCTTGCTTTTCTTGCTTTTGCCTTTTCCATGTTCATTTTCGTTTTCTTTGGATTTGTTATGCGAGTTTTTATCTTGTGTTGCTACTGTGGGTTCTGTTGCAGGCAAAATTTCTGCTTGACCGTGCTCATGATCTTCGCAACGTTTACCGAGTTGGTGTTTATGTTGATGTTCATGAAAAGTTGCCAAGCTACTACTATCATCTATGGGGAGAGCTGAGGTACCATTAGCAGCTATTGTGACGGCTGCAAGGGCCAACATAGCCAATTGCGTCTTTTTTCTACCCATTTCTTATTATTTTAATTGGACTTGATGATGTATTAGAGGGAAGAGAATTATTGTGAGTAAAATATGTTTGTTTTATTTCGAGACTCTCCCAGTTAATGAAGGGTGGGAGTGAAGGAGGATTTATGGGTAATACTAGGTAAAAGATCACTGATTTTGAATCAGTGAAGAATTAAATGAAGAGGGAAATTTTCTTGACATTCAAAAAATAAATTAGAATTGTCATATTTATATTAAACACACAAGAATAAAGGCATGCTATGTCTAAGCTCTATACGCATATTTTTAATAGATACAAAGTCGATTGGTGATGCCATTAGATATTCGTATTTTGTATATTTCTTTATTAATTTACTCTTTTTGTTAAAGCACGTTTTATATTAAACGCCTTTAGCATACATTTTTGATTTTTATTGGTATTTAAATTACGTACATACTTTTTTGTATATATGTATGAGTATGCATATTCTACGCATCCATAGCATAGTAGAAACGTGGTGGCAAAAAAATTTCCAGATCCCGTGATCTCCGATCCCGATGCCGACCATCCGATATACCCCTTAAAATTATGCACCAATCAAATCGCAAGATCAACGTGCAACGCAAAAATTCAACAAATACTTGTTTTGAAACTACATAAAAAAATGTTCCTTGCAAAATTTTACTATACTTTGTATTTTCATTTGCTATACAATAACCCTAACTCTAAACCTAACCCCTAACCCTAACCGAAATTCATCACTTTTCTATCTAGCATGACATGATTATTTGTGATTTCTTTTTTAGTATACATAAAGAAGATAATGCACTTCATACATATCGGCATGTGGAGATCGCTTTCACTTAAAATGTTATTTACACCATTCATTACTCGCACCTTGTACGCGTATGCGGTTTTCACCAAAAAAAATACTGGTTGTTTTAGACATGAAATCAGTAAATTTAAAATATTTCACATTTATTGTACAACTTATTTTGCACTAAAATTTATATTCTTATCGTTATGCAATTTAATTGGTTAAAATCCAATTAAAAAAGTATGTGAATAGTTTCATAGAGGAAAAACTAATAAATTTAAAATATTTTTGTGATAAATAACTTCTTTTAGTCTATGATAATAATTTATAAGCAACCTGTGACAAATAATTGCTTACATATAAATGTGTGATACTTAATATAATAAATACATGTGATACTTAATATAATAAATACATGTGATAAATTAAGATGCAGATACGTAAAATAAATTATTCTGGCGGCTGAAATCAGTGCCCTATTAATTTCTATTCGCTAATCTCATTGGTCCATTTCAGCTTCGCTACAATTAATAATTAATAATTAACAATTAATAGTTAATACATTATTCCTTACCGATTAATTATCTAAATCAATAATACAGTAACTTTTCATACCCGATGATCCATTGATTAGCACTACTCCGTCTCCGTCTCCGTCATCTCGCGTGCTCGAACCCGTAGCTTTGTTAACGGCGAAGCGTCGACAAAATAATCGGACAACAATACTTCTAATTCCTGAAACCGGTTCTCGATACGAGACACTCGCTGGTCGGCCGTTTGATATGGTAATGTAGGATCGATTACGGGAGTGACAAATGGCATGTTGTTTACGTCGGCATTTCGAGCTACTTCACGCTTTGCTACTTTGTGCATTAAACCCCTATATTGTATGCAACGTAAAATAACCGTTATAATTATATTTAAAGCTTTAAATTCAAAATAAAATATTTACCAAGGTTTCGTTCTCGGTTGGCCAAATAATATTACATAAATACCACCTATAGCGCCTAATAAATAAAATATAAAGAACTAAATCAAATTTCACAAAGATTACGAGAAAGCACTTATAATAATATTTGTATATATACCAAAGGCACCACCTGCAACGCCAAGCGCTCCAAGAATAGTATGACCTCTATAAATCGATCACAAAAGTTCAAAACCATATAATGATTTCTATACGCCAAAATACATCACTATTGCATAACAATATACGTACCTTTTTTCAGTTTGTAAATCTTTAACAAAGCTCCCAACACTAAGAGCAAAATGTCCATGTGTTGCGTTATTTTGGAAATCAGGACTTACATGTAATGGATAATACGCAGCCGTAGTATGTAAATAAGATGTATTATGGTAATTTGGCTCCATTCCGAAAATAGCACCGACATCATTTTGTAAGATTGATCTAATTGTCGTTTTTTTAAATCTTACCTTGAAAAAACAAACATTTTTAATATTTAATCTAAATGAATGCTAACTAACGAATAGTCGTATACTCACTTGTGTTGAATAATTATGTATTCCTGCAAATGAATTATATTGAAGACCCCATTCAGCCGCTACGAATTTATCAATTGTTGTTACCGCATCAGCTTTCCCCCATAAAGGATCAAAATCCGGATCATAAAGTTGTGCACTAATTGCCGCTACTGAAATAACCGATGAAATAGCCCCCGTCAAGTTTTTAAATCGAAAATAAAAATCGATAAGACGCACAGAATGAGGGCTGGCACTATCAAAAGTAGACATTGCGTAGTAAAGTGTGCGGTTCACTGTAAATAGATAACAATAGCTGCTGCTGTCTTCTGCTCTTGGTCCAGCATAAATATACTGCATTGTGTTATTTGTGTCATAACATAGATCAAAAGATGACGAAGTCCAGTCTCGCCACGTGAATACACATTTACTAATTTCAATATCGCTCATATATCCACATAATTCAATGTCTTATATCGTAAATAAGATGGTTGATTTAGTTTAAGTTTTCGATGCACAATAAACTCGTCAAGAATTTTACCTGGCACTTGTATAGTGTTCAAATATTCACGGCCAACTTGTAAAAGTGGAACATCGGTCACAATACCTAATAATTCATTTTAAAAATTAGTAACGGTAACATTTTCAAAGTAATAACAAATCCTAATTTCAACAAATCAATTAAAATACCATATATCAAATACGATAAATATGCAAGGTATAGCAATATGACTACTGTAGCGGTTCCTAATCGTAAGCAGGAAAATTTTTTAGACTCTTTAAACTAAAAATAATACGTATTATTATTTTGAGTCGTGTTTTCTAATCTCAAGAATTCATTCAAATCAAAAAATATTTACAATTTTGCGACCGAAATCAAACATGAAAAACATTTTGATTATAGTTGTTTTAACAAAGTCAAAGTAATAATTATTACCAAACTATTTTATGTGTTTTGTATACAAGCTGCGCGTGACAATAATCATATAATAACAATAAAACAAAGAAAGGGTCTACATGTGTATCGTTATATACATACTTATTTTAGTCAAAAAGTGATTGTTTTTTAAACAGTACGTAATTCTTTGAGCGCAGATATTTTTCCGTAAAGTAAATTTGACTCTGGAGAAAATTTTTTTCAAAAAAATTTTCAATTGGCTAAAGTATTATTTATCGTTAGTATATTGCCTTTTTAAATGTAAACTCCCCAGATACGTCTTAAAGAAGAAGTGCATCTATGCCTTTTTATCATAAATAAATGAAAGAACATGCATATCGATATCGATATGCCGATGTTTTCTATTATTAAATTACTTTTATGTATACTGCACAATGTACAATTGGGTGAGGGCAAAAATAAATCAACGTGAAACAAAAAATCTTAGCTGGGTCAAATGGCTACAAAGAATTTTTGTTTCACGTAATAACTAAGCTCTGTTCGTAAAATAGCTCTTCGTTAATAACTTTTATTTAAGACACTTGTATTTTGTATCTTAAGTAGAGTTGTTCGGAATGTAATTGTGTATATATCTACAAATTTTTGTTTAATTTGAATTAATATTGAACGAGAAATAACGATTTTTAGGCTGACCCGAAATATTTCAGGTCGGGTTTGACCCCGAAGTGTTCGGGAGCACTATATAACACGAGTTATATATAACCCACCTAAGTGGATGATTTACAATATTAAATCACAAGAAATCTAAGGGGAATGAGGGGTGTCTATAATAAAATGGATATTAGCTAATATCTCCATTCCCTAACTATTTCAAAGTCACAATTCATTTAAATATCTTTCGTTAGAAACAATATGGTCGGAACAAATTGTTCGCTTACCGTTACGTATGCGTATGATGTTTCACTTGTACTGCAAATCTAGACTACGTATGTCATCATGCCTTATCGTTATAGAAATTACCGTTTTTTTAATCGAGATAATAACTAATGCTAAGAACTAGTCAATTGTAGAAATGATAGATAATATGAATTGAAGGATCTAGAAAAATACACCAGAAATTTTTCTGCTACGTTATAAAAAAGGCTTTTCTTTAGTAATTGTTTCCTGCAAAAAATAGAGTTTATGATAGAAATTTACGATCAAGAAAATTAGATGCATCGGACCATAAGCCTGATGATTAAAAATCCTTCTCTTGTTACTGCCACTATCACAGTAAAAGATTATTTTCGGGTAATCCAGTTCGAAAAGTTTTAATTACATTGACGCCAATGAAAACAAACACGACGACTAAATTGATATTGAATTCCTCAGGAAATTTAACGAAATGTACTGGACTGGTTAATAAATTAGAATTATAAATACTGATTTCTTCAGGAATAGGTCAGGAAATACACTGACCTATGATAATCACCGTGCATTATTAGCAAAATTTTCGATTTTTATCTCGTTTTTTTTATTTAAACTAAATTTTTACTTAACAACAATATTTAAAAAATATATGAATAGAAAGAGAAAAGGTTATAGAATAATATTCGTCTAAAAAATATAAATAATTTAATAATGTGTATGTAATCCTTTAGCTTTAATAACAGCTGCAACTCGTCGCAGCATACTTGAAATTAAATTGCGTACAACATCCAAAGGCACTTTTTGCCATTCTTCCTTCAATGCATCAATGAAAATTTTCTTTTATAATCTGGCGATCTAAATGATCTCATATATGCTAATTGGGTTTAAATCAGGACTTTGGGCAGTCCATTCTAAAACTGGAATACTGTGTGTTTGCATCCACTAACGACTATAATTCGAAGTATGATAGAAGCACCGCTGAAAAGTTGTATAAGAATGACTATTCATTTAAGGTTGGAAAGAATATTAATATAACCATCAGAATCGAGATTGTTATCAACTTCTACCAAAGGTCCAACATCATCCCATCCAATACATCTCCAAAACATTACCGACAATCCACACAA